ACGTTCCAAAACCATCTGTCCTAGAGCTTACACGGAGTTTGAACTCCTGGGGAAACTGAACATAGGTATGCTGTTCTTAAAGTGGATTTCCACCCAAAAGAGGAAGTTGCATTTTAAAGATTGGTACCCCGCTCCCCATAAAAGAATGGCACCTTTGGGGAGCGGGGGGAACGGGTACTGGAAATTGACAGGTACCCACTCCCACTTCCACTGCAATCACCTTGGCAATCAGAAATGGAAGTTGCCCTCATAGCCTCCCTCCCCGAAGTCTTGTGGGACACATGACAGGTCCCAGAAGACGACGGGGCCATTCAGGAAGCGCAGCGCTACTCGCTGTGGGCACCCGGCTATGAAGCCGCAAGCTGCAACAGTCGGTTGCCCACACTGAAGATGCCAGCCTCCTGGAATACAAGGCAGCCGTTGAAACGGGCTGTGGCAGGGGCAACTTGGGATCATGGGACAGGTGAGTGGCTATTTTTTAAAAGTCAGCAGCTACAGTTTTTGCCTACATCCCACAAGTCAGCAGTTACAGCCTATGCCTACATCCCACAATGCAACACTTGGTGCCTGAACCACCTATCAGCAGGTCTGGGTATTGCAATGTTGGGGATGGGCATTCGATTATGCAACTAGCACCTGTCAGAAAGTTTAAGAATATATTTACTTCAGTGTTTTTGTTTAATACTTTTTTTCCCTCTTAAAGTGGACCTTCCCTCCTTCCCTTCTTTCACGAAGGCCCCATGCACACAGGATGTTTTGCCAGCTCTCCTAGAAGCCTTCCTCCTGACATCAGCGTTTTGACAGAAAAAACACGTTTAGGTGCATTTACAGTAGATGCATCATTGCATCAATGTTAATTAATTTAATTGGCCAGAATAATAGTTTATTCTTGCCATTGAAATTAATTACCACTCAAGTGCTAAACACACCTAGTGGTAACATGTGTTTATATGTGTTTACAGGTGTCAGGCATTTTTTTTTAATGCCAAAACGCCGCAGCTACTGGATGCATTGGAAGTGGGATATTTTTATGCCTCTGAACTCCTCTAAATGTCTATGTGTGCATGGATAGATATGCTAATGTACAGGAGAAAAAACACTGGACGCCCATAGAAGTAGTTGAAAAAAACTTCCAGTGTGCATGAGGCCTAAAATCACCTTTCCCACCCTTTTTAATGATTTATTTATTACAGGTACTTATATAGCGCAGTCAATTCACGTAGTGCTTTAAAATATATATATATATATATATATATATATATATACATACGGTATATATATATATAGTACATTCATATTAGTCCCTGGCCCTTAGGGGCACACAATCTAAGGTCCCTAACGTGCATTCATACGTACCCATACTAAGGCCAATTTAGATAGAAGCCAATTAATCTACCAGCATGTCTTTAAAGTTAAACAAACATTTTTTGCTTTTGATTTTTCCACTTCCTGGTTTCTTTAAGGCACTGGTGATTTCATTAATCACCCTGGCCTTACAGCAGCATTATGTGTACTTCCTATCACATGCACCAGGAAGCAGACCTAGAGTCCTAGGCTGAGTTCCAGGAAGTAAAGGGAGATGGATTAATCTGCCCTTAGTAAAAATGGGCACTGTAAGAACAGTGGAAAGGAAAAAAAATAGGTTTGCAAAGACTACAAAACTGGCAGTTATTTCTAAGCATCTGTTTGTAGATTGCCATTACTAAACATTTCTATAGGTGTCTGTATTGTAATTTTTGTGATAAGGGGTTCCTTTTTAAGTCTTCAAAAGAACCTATCAAGACAAAAACATGGGAGCTGCTAATATTGATTTTTTTTTAAAGTGCAAGCTCTAGGGCTACCATACATATCTTTCCTTTACTACTGAGTGAATGACTGGCCTGGAAAGTTGCCATCCTGACGAAGCCACGTGGTATCGTGGAGTAACGCATAGAGCGCGGTGACGTACTTCCGGAGACGCACTTCCGGTGACAAGTTTCCGGTAGATGCCATCTTTGGACACCCAGGGACCTGCAGTACACCCACAGCACATGGGAAACCACTGTATTGTAGCTGCATAACTGTGAGTGTCCCTTTGGCTTATTTATCTGCTATTTTGAATAAATCATACTGCACTATGGAGGCTCTCTTTGTCTACCTTTTTATGGCCTTGTGATATCCCTGATGTTGTGACCACCATCTGAGGGGAAAAGTGACCTGACAGTGGAGGCTGAGTGGAACCATAGGAGCCAAATATCTGAGATCCCCAGGGTTGTGGAGCACTTATTGCTCAATGCGTTGTGGCCCTTAGGGGTCGCTTTAAGGAGGTGAGAGGCACTCTAGCCACTTTTGGATAGTGATACACACATGTGTCACACAAGCACGCATCTTGTTTGGAGTGAAAGATTGAAGCACTTTGCCTTGTTTGCACATCGATTTGTTTGCACGATTTATTGCACTTTATTGTGGACTATGTTTTACTGATATATTTAAATTATAGATTTGCAGTCAGAGCACTTGTCACTTTTAAATAGAGTGTGATGTACCCTCATGAGAGTTTTCTTTGTTGACACATTGGGTACAGGACAGTGATTGACTGACCTGTTTGCACTTTAACATTTGGTATCCATTTTTTTTTTAAAAAAAGCACCAGCTAGAGCACTTTATATGTATGCTGTGTTTTAATTCATATGTATTGATATATTATTATAGATGTATTATATATTTATGTGTAGTGCTTCACCACCAGTATACTACTATCACATGTCCTCAGGTATTAGGAAAAGGTGATAGCAGCTTGCATCAATTGGTTGTATTAATTACCAGTGGAGCGCAGGGGGATTACTATTTACTTTTATATATATACATATATATTTATTTATGTATCGTAAATATTGAGTCTGACAGCATTGCCCATTTATAAAATTATTCTGGCAATTTTGCCTGAGGTGAAAGTAAGGCAGTGAAATGTATTATCAAAACCTTTTAGCCTTTTTTTTACACTGGTAAATTTACACAGATTTTATACTAAGCTAATATATATGATGCATTATGCTATATGTAATAAACAGCACAGCGTATATAAGGTAGAGTACTGCATAAAAAGGAGAGCAGTGTGGAGTATAATATACAGCACAGTGTCCTGAGTGGACTATATAATGTATTGTACAGTATGAGCATGAGTAGAATGGAATATAAAACAGACAGCATAGTTTATACATTGCACATGGAGTACACAAGGTACATTTGAAAGCATGCATACAAAGTTGAGCAGTGTGGAATATACCAATCAACCATACCATTATGACCACTGACATGTAAAGTGAATAACATTGATTATCCCCTGTCAATGGCATCTGAAAGTTGGTGGGATATATTAGACAGCAAGTGAACTTTTTTAGTTTAAGCTGATGTGCTGAAAGCAGAAAAAATGGGCAAGCATAATGATTTGAGCAACTTTGAGAAGGGCCAAATAGTAATGGCTAGACAAATGGGTCAGAGCAACCCTAAAACGGCAGCTCTTGTGGGATGTTCCCAGTCTGTAGTGGTCAGGACCTACCAAAAGTGGTCCAAGGAAGGAAGACCAGCAAATTGACAACAGGGTCATGAGCAGCCAAGACTCCCTGATGCAAAGGCTGGCCTGTGAAGTTCGATCCAATAGCAGAGATACTGTAGCTCAAATTGCTGAAAAAGTTAATGCTGGTTCTGATAGAAATGTGTCAGTACCCACAGTGCAGCAGTTTGTTGTGTATGGTGTTTCATAGTCACAATGCACTCAGAATGCCCATGACTGACCCACGTGCACAGACAAAAGTATCTATAATGGGCATATGCTTTAGAACTGGACCACGGAGCAATGGAAGAAGGTGTCTTAGAATTGTTGACTTGGCCTACAAATTTTCCAGATCTCAATTCAATCAAGCATCTGTGGGATGTGCTGGAAAAACAAGTCCAATCCTTGGAGGCCCCACATCACAAAGTACAGGAATGAAAGGATCTGTTACTGATGGCTTGGTGCCAGATAACACAGCATACCATCAGAGGTCTCCTGGATTCAATGCCTCGACAGGTCAAGGCTGTTTTGGCAGCCAAAGGGGGACCTACTCAGTATTAGGTGGGTGGTCATGTTATGGCTGATTGAGGTATATAACATTCAGCACAGTGCACAAAGTTGAGTATATAATGTATAGCAAAATATATTAAGTGGAATTATAGAGTATGTAAAGTACAGCACAGTGTGCTGAATAGAGTATATATTGTACAGTACAGTATATTATCTGGATAAGTGCAGAGTACATAATATACTGTACAGTAAGATGAATGGAACATCTGTATAAAGTGTATTAGAATATATTAAGTGGGACAGTGTTGCTTATATACCATACTGCACAGTGTGCTGGGTGGAGTATATATTGTGTATTACAGTATATCTGAGAACTTTGAAATATTTCATATACAGCACAGTGTAAATATAACATACAGTGCAGTGTTGATGTAACTTACAGCGCATTGTAGAGAGTGGGGCATTAAGAGGTTTGTATTATGAAGTATTGCAGATGTAGCAGTCTAGATTCTGTAACATACATGAAGCTGTCTAGGGTATATATGTTAGATATAACATAGCATACAAAATGCTATAATGCACAGCTCCAGAGTGTTTGACATAAAGTGTAGCATACTGAGCAAATCAAATTGGGGTATGTAGCATACAGTACAGAGCACAGATTGCAATGGTCTAGAGCAGTGATGGCGAACCTTTTTGAGCCCGAGTGCCCAAACTGCAACACAAAACCAACTTTTTTATTTCAAAGTGCCAACACTGGAATTAATCACTTGCCTACCGGGCACTTCTACCCCCTTCCTGCCCAGGACAATTTTCACCTTTCAGTGCTGTTGCACTTAACAAAGACAATTGTGCGGTCATGCAACACTGTAACCATATGCAATTTTTATCATTTTTTCACACAAATAGAGCTTTTTTTGGTGGTATTTAATCACCACTGGGTGTTTTATTTTTTGCACTATAAATGAAAAAAGAGCAAAAAATTAAAAACATAAAAGGTTTCCTTTGCTTCTATTCGAAAATTTTGCGAACAGGTAATATTTCTTCCTTGATGTGCGTTGGTGAGGCTGCACTGATAGGCAGCACTGATGGGCATTGATGAGGCGGCACAGATAGGTAGCACTGATGAGGCGGCACTGGTGAGCATTGATGAGGAGGCTCTGATGATGCACTGATATGCAGGAAATGATGGGCACTGATAAGCGGCACTGACAGCACCAACTGGAGGCACCTACCGGCGGCACTGCTGGGCATCATTGATGGGTGGCACTGATGGGCAGTACTAATGAGGTGTCACAGATAGGTGGCACTGATAGGCGACACTGATAATGGGTACTGATAGACAGCACTGATAGGTGGCACTGACTGACATCACTGTTGGGCACTGACTCGCACAACCGCTGGGCACTGACTGGTGGCACTGACTGGCAGCACTGCTGGGCTGCACTGATGGGCACTGGTGGGTGGCACAGGTGGGCACTGGTGGGTGCATTGCTGGGCACAGGTGGGGCGCACTGTTGGGCACAGGTGGGTGCATTGCTGGGCACAGGTGGGCGCACTGTTGGGCACAGGTGGGTGCACTGGGCACAGGTGGGCGCACTGCTGGGCATAGGTGGGCGCACTGCTGGGCACAGGTGGGCACTGGGCACACGTGGGTGCATTGCTGGGCACAGGTGGGCGCACTGCTGGGCATAGGTGGGCGCATTGCTGGGCACAGGTGGGCGCATTGCTGGGCACAAGTGGGCGGGAACTTGTGTGTGGCACAGGTGGGCGATCATCAAGGCACTGATGATCAGTGACCCTGGATCGGTGCCGATCCCTGTTCTGACAACTGCCGGTTTTCGGCAGTACTTTCCTCACGATCTGACAGCGTGAGGAAAGTGCAGCCGAGAACCGGCATTTGCATTTCCTGGTGATCAGCGTGTCATTGGACGCGGCTGATCACGTGGTAAAAGGCCGCTGTGATTGGCCTTTTACCATGTCACGTGATCAGCTGTGTCCGCAGGACACAGCGATCACGGAGATCGCCCGGTGGCGCAGGTGCGCAGGAGAGCGCGTTCTCTTCCTCTTCCTCTCTTCCTCCTGGCGTGCCCACTGAGATGGCTCTGCGTGCCAGCTCTGGCACGCGTGCCATAGGTTCGCCATCACTGGTCTAGAGCAGGGGTGGGCAAACTTTTTGACTTGAGGCCGCAATGGGTTCATATATTGGACCCGGGGGCCGGACCAAGAGTAGATGAATGATGTGTATGTGTCATCCATAGTAAGTATAGTAATATTCCCCCATAGTAAGCATAGTAATTAATCCCCCATATAGTAATTCATCCCCCATAGTAATTCATCCCCCTATAGTAATTCGTCCCCCATATAGCAATTCATCCCCCATATAGTAATTCATCCCCCATATAGTAATTCATCCCCCATAGTAATTCATCCCCCACATAGTAATTCATCCCCCACATAGTAATTCATCCCCCATAGTAATTCATCCCCACATAGTAATTCATCCCCCACATAGTAATTCATCCCCCACATAGTAATTCATCCCCATATTAATTCATCCCCCATACTTTCATCCCCCACGAAGTCCCCCATGATTCCCCATATAGTAAGCGTAATTCATTCCCCATATAGTAAGTCCCCCATAAATGTAAGTCAGTAATTCATTCCCCATAAAGTAAGTCCCCCATATAGTAATTCATTCCCCATATAGTAAGTCCCCCATATAGTAATTCATTCCCCATAAAGTAAGTCCCCCATATAGTAATTCATTCCCCATAAAGTAAGTCCCCCATATAGTAATTCATTCCCCATATAGTAAGTCCCCCCATATAGTAATTCATTCCCCATATAGTAAGTCCCCCATATAGTAATTCATTCCCCATATAGTAAGTCCCCCATATAGTAAGTCCTCCATATAGTAATTCATTCCCCATATAGTAAGTCCCCCATATAGTAATTCATTCCCCATATAGTAAGACCCCCATATAGTAATTCATCCCCCATATAGTAAGTCCCCCATATAGTAATTCATTCCCCATATAGTAAGCCCTATTAATTCATTCCCCATATAGTAAGTCCTCCATATAGTAATTCATTCCCCATGTAAGTCCCCCATATAGTAATCATTCCCCATATAGTAAGTCCCCCATATAGTAATTCATTCCCCATATAGTAAGTCCCCCATATAGGTCCCCCCCTGTGTCAATTCACTTACCTTTGCTCCTCGCGCGTTCCTCTCGAGATTCCCCGGTGCGTTCTGGTCTTCAGGGAGGACTGTGAGAGAAGAGTTCGTGCACGCTCTGCCCCGCCTACATCCTGGCTCCCCGCCTACATTCCTGACAGCTGCAGAGTCCTGACGCCCGAGAGGAGGGAGGGGGCGGCCATCCTAGAGGGGGGGCGGCCATCCGAGAGGAGGGGAGGGGAGAGGAGGAGAGGAGGTCGCCCGCGTGGGAGGGGAGCGGGCGCCCGGCACACAGGAGAGCCGCATCTATTGTAAAGAGCCGCGGCTTGCCGACCACTGGCCTTGCGGGAGCCTAGCTCCGCGGGCCGGATTAAAAGGTCCCATACGGCCCGCGGGCCGTAGTTTGCCCATTGCTGGTCTAGAGTATTAAATGTACAGTACAATTTCTCTGCATATGAAACTGTAGTTCTACCCCTGCACCCAAGCAACAGCCTTTTCACTCCGCTCCCATAAACAGTCTTGCTTGTAGAACCTATAACAGGACAGGGGTTGAGGCATGGGGTACGCCAAAACACTCAGTAACATCTAAGGCCTCACAACTGAAGACCATGATGCAAGTCTCCATGGAATCTGGTTACCCTACTGCACAGTCAAAGGGGGGTCAGTTGGGGTCTTTATTCATAAGTCCACAGGACAGCTGCCTCTGGACACAATCCAATGGGTGAGACTCTTCCTTTCCAGACCCGATCCCTTTGTAGAGAAATCCTGCACCCAGCTCCAGATTATTCCCAGGTCTTTGGCCCTGCCACAGCTGAACAGCAGAAGAGCAACTCAGACCATAGGATGCTTCAGAGGCAAACAGCCCCTTGAGGCTCTCAGAACCTTCTCTGATGGGTAAAAGAACAGTCCCCAGGGCTCCACACTATTTATCACCTCCCAGACCACCTTCTGGGCACAACTCCACAGAGATTGGCCAATGCATGATAAATATTCAAACCAGTTGTTTTAATCTCCCACTCTAAGCTCTGGAAACTTCTTCCACAGATAGGGGGAAACAATCAAACACTCAGCTTGTGAAACCCCGAACAGACCAGAGCAAGAGATCACTGCTCTCTTGATTACAGAAGGAGCTAAAAATGAGATTTACCTAGCATCCTACGCTAGAAGAATACTACATGACATAAAAAACACAGTACAGAAGTCTGAAATACTCTTTTCTTTATACTAATATTGGATTGTTACTGTGGATTGCCATTGCTTGCATGGTCATTTGTACAAATAAATGGGTAGAAAAGTAAAAGAAAACAGTGGTACATAACAATCCAACCAATTACTTATTGATTTTTTAACTCAGCAGTCATAACCATTGTTTTTGCAGTTCGAGCAATAACTAAAGGCTCTACACATTCTGAGACACAGATATGGGTATGTAGCACTACAAGCCGCTACAGATTACATTAAAACATTATTAGCATTTTCAGCATTAGCTGTTGTTTGTGAAACAAGTTGATCTCAGATCACCAAAAATCCCAAAGATTCCGCTAATAATTTTGCTGAGGGGCCCTGTCATTTATAATAACGTCCCTCTGAGGCTCACAACCAAGATGTCTGATTAAATGGTTTCTGCGCTGACCTCCAACTAGTTCCCCATCACATCCCTCCTCCTATTTTCCCTGTCTTTCCACATACATCACTATACAACTGCTAATTTACCACCAGAATAGTAGTGACAGCTATTCCTGCATACACGCAAGGATCTAAAAAGATACTCCAAACTTAGCAAGTGTATTAACAGAACTGCATTATAGGTTGTCTACGAGGCTCTGGATAGTCATGACCTTCTTGTCAAATTTGCACAATAAGGATTACCAAGTGTCTGCGAATTTAAAGTATATGTATAGCCAACATTTTTTTTTTAATTGGATCGAATAGAGGGGTTAAAATTAAAATTGTCAGGTTTTTTTTTTTCTTTTTGCTGTTTGTGTTCCACTGGGGAGATTTCTCTTTACTTATTGTTCTGCAGACACAATAGGAAGTGGGAGGAGTTCTCTCCAGAAGGATAGCCTCTCTTTGACAACTGTCACCACAATGAACGCCATTGCAAGACTTTCCCTATATTCCTGCTCCAGTGACAATTCAAAATGTTGGTGACAAAGTTCACCAATAGAGAGGATTTCCAATAGGGACAGTGACAGGAAAAAAAAAAACAACAGCCAAAAAATATTGGCTTTAAATGTGATATTGAAACCCAAAAGCCAATATTTATTACATTGCAGCTAACCAATTCTTAGATGTGGTGGCTGCATTCGTTTTCATTTTTAGGCTTTCTTTCCTTTATTTTCACCTGTTGATTCTGCCAGCAAGTCTGTTGATTTTCAAAAGAACAAGCTCTCTCCAGATGTATTAGTTTACAGGGATAAGACAAACCATTTAACACTGGCATGGATACTTACAATGATCAGTTTTTATTTATTCATGTAAAACTTTTATCCTAAAAGGAAGAAATGTTTGCTGTAACTGATTATACAGTGTGTGCTGGAGTTTGGCTTCAATTTGTTTAGTGTATTTAAATCTTCTAGGGCATCTAGCACTCCCCACCCCCCCCTAGACTGCAAAAATTCACCTGCAAGGCAATATCATAATATGCTAGTATGAATTGCATAATTGCACATTATGAAAAACTTACTGTAAAACGAAACCCTCCAGTGGCATGCTGTCACCACTGATAGGGCTTCCTTCTTCACCCGGTCTTCTTTTTGGGTTGAAGGGCTCCAGCCGTCTGACCAGCCAAACCACAACGATGTCACTCCTGCGCATGCACACCAGAGCCCTGAGCCCAAAGGTGTTCTGTCGGTTTGAGGTCAGGACTCAGAGCGCAGTCATGTTGGAATAGGAAGGGGTCACCCCCAAACTGTTCCCACAAAGTTGGGAGCATGAAATTGTTCAAAATGTCTTGGTATTCTGATGCCTTAAGAGTTCCCTTCATTGGAACCAAGGGGCCAAGTCCAACCCCTGAAAAATAACCCCACACCTTAATCTCCCTTCCACCAAACATTACACTTGGCACAATGCAGTCAGGCAAGTACCGTTCTCCTGGCATCCATCAAACTCAGACACATCCATCTGATTGCCAGACAGAGAAGCGTGATTGGTCACTACAGAGAACACATCTCCACTGCTCTAGAGTCCATTGGCAGCATGCTTTACGCCACTGCATCTGACACTTTGCATTGCACTTGGTGATGTAAGGCTTGGATGCAGCTACTCAGCCATGGAAACCCATTCCATGAAGCTCTCTACGCACTGTTGTGCTAATCTGAAGGACACATGAAGTTTTGAGGTCTTTAGCTACTGACTCTGTAGACAGTTGGCGACTTCTACCCATTGTGCACTAAAGAATGTGCTGGCCCCGCTCTCTCCGCTCTCTCATTTTACGTGGCCTACCACTTCTTGGCTGAGTTGTTGTTTCCAGTTGCTTCCACTTTGTTATAATACCGCTAATAGTTGACTGTGGAATAGTTAGTAGCAAGGAAATTTCACGGATGGACTTATTGCACAGGTGGCAACCTATCACAGTACCACGCTTGAATTCACTGAGCTGCTGAGAGCGACCCATTCTTTCACAAATGTTTGTAGAAGCAGTCTACATACCTAGGTGCTTGATTGTATACACCTGTGGTCATGGAGGTGATTGGAACACCTGAATCCAAGGATTTGGAGAGGTGTCCCAATACTTTTGGTAATATAGTGTATATGCTTCTATTTATGGCATACAGCTCCCTGCAGCCTTATGAATGAGTCCTAAGGCCACATTCACATGGCGGTAAAAAATGCATTTTTATTT